GGCGTAGCCAAGGGGGGGGCAAGGGGGGCTGTCGCCCCCCCAATCGCAAAAAAACTATTCTCTGAAAAAGGCTAAATCCGTAGAGAAATGGGGGGGAGGGGGGTACACGTTACATCCTCGAAGCTGAAACGGATTAAGTACGTCTCGACTGAGGAAAACGACGAAATACTGGAAGAACTTGATTTCTAAAATCTCGTTAAAACAGTTGTATATATGGTTCCAAGAGGAATAGATTTAGTTTAGATTTACATGTATATGCATTATGATAACATGAATATTCTTCTCAGACTTATTCTGTATCATATATAAAAGCGAGTAGAAACTTAGAAATGTCTGGGAAAATTTATGTCTTTGACGTACTTTATAATCTTCGGGATTCTGCAAGATTTCACCCCCAAAATGCTTGAAATCACATTTCAGGGACTCTAAATTTTAAAATTTTCCCTGGGGTGCATGCCCCCGAACCCCCCTAGAGCGTACTTTATAATCTTCGGAATTCTGCAAGATTTCACCCCCAAAAATTTTCACGGGGGTGCATGCCCCCGGACCTCCATAGATGGTCTCGCGCCTTCGGCGTTCGCTTCGCCCCCCAAAAAATGGAGGTCTGGTTACGCCACTGGCAGCGATTATTACGTTAAAACTGAAACGTGCACTACCTCGCAGACACGTTTAAATGAAGTGATATCCGCTAATATAAACGACTGCCGCGAGTTTATCCCAATGGCATGATAGGTGGGTACGGGAGGTACAATAACCACTGGAATTTATGCTCTCCCTCTCGCCCCTCCACGGAAAATATGGATTTATACGGTCGCTAGAATAAGTCCATTTCCTGCAATTTTAATATGTGGTACGGATTATAAGACTCAACTTTTTTGTTTCGGAACCATCCTCAGGGATATAGTGAAAAAATAGTTTTGCATATCTCTGCGGTCGGTTATGAAATAGAATTGAAAAACTGCGCGTCCTCCACGACAAGCGGTAGGTCGTCGCGAAAATATTTCGTGCAGTTAAATTGAATAAGACTCCCTACCAGTCCGCGTTGACTCGATAGCTCAATGTGTCCAGGAATACAAAGATGCGAGTTCGAACCTTGCTCGTGACAATAAACTTTTTCGTTGTTCATTGCAGTGGGAGAATAATGTGAAACTAGTTTCTGCCTCTTCTTTGGCGGGCATTACCTCTCCAACCCTCTCCCAACACTTTAAATGGCCCAGGTACTGCCAATTTATAATCTGATCCCAAGTTCGATACTACTATAACTCGCTCCTGTCCAAATATCAATATGGTGTTTGATCAAAGCATTCAATTCAGTCACGGCACTTATCCAGATGGTGACACATTTTATGAGAACATGGATAATGGTCAGTTCGATGATCGGTTGTTTTTCTTGACACTTGTAAAGTTTTTGATTCGTTTAATCATAAAATCTTATTGCAAAAGATAAAAGACAAATCTCGAAAAATAAACGTTGAATTGGAATGGCTTGAATCCTACCTGACCATGCAATAACGAACAATTAAGTGTACATTGTTAACGGCACAATGTCACCATCGATCTAGCTAAAAAGAGTGTTTGCGTTGTTCCGCAGGGATCATTTCTAAGTCCTTTGGTTTTGCTGTTTTACATTACATTAAAGATCTATCAAAATGCCAGAATGTCTTGATAAAACTACACCTCATGTATATGTCGACGATACTTAAATGTCCTCTAACGCTAATAATTTATATACATCGGAACTTACTGAAAACCTAAATGATGAGTTGAACAAACAAAGTCGGAATGTTTCCTTATTGCAACACCATGCACAAACCTTTTGCAAACTAATTATGATCTTAGAAATGGTCACACTGATTTCGCCCTTGCGTAGCCTAAAAGAGAATTTCTAAAGTATGGCGGTGCAAAACTCTGAAATATATAGACTTCCTCTTGATGCGAAACTTAGCGCAATCAATTTACTTCATGCATGTCCAAAAAATATTTGAAACAGAATGTTGATTGGGCAAATCCACTGTATAATATACAGTATTTGTAATTAAAGCTTGAGTCACACCAAATCACGAATCTATTACTGTACTTCAATACAATTAATTTTTCTTCCTTTACTTTATAAATTTAATTATACTCGTAATTTTTAAATTACTTGTGGAAATCAGTGAACCGCTGACGAGGCTAGCGTCATGAAATAACGTTTTACATACAAACATATATACATGCATACAATACACACTTTCTCCATGGGAATGCGGCTTTGGGAGACCGCCCAAACTAGTCATGAAAAAAAAATGAATGGGCTCCTGCCTAGCAGGCACTTACGTCACAAATCTCTCCTTGGTTCGGGAGCCTCGTTGCCATGAATCGAATCGTGAATGAACAACGTTTCTTCGTAACTTAGCGAGGCTCTCAGGCCAAGAAAATATTCATGACCTAATTATCGAAATAGTGGATACTCAGACCTTGCTTTTAGGAGGGGCTCTGTGTTCTCTAGTCGGTTTAGGAACAAAAAACCCATACCGACGGCTATTCTTAAATCAATTGACCGACATAATCCGATTTTATCAACAGAATCTGGGTCTTTCCGGCTTGAGTACCTATTTGTATAATGCAATAACCGAGTAATTTTGTTGGAGGGCCTTCATGGCCCTTCATCATTTCATGTGAAGTTCAGAAGTTTTCTTCGATCCAATGGACCATGATAGCCATGATTCGTAAACTTGTCACCTAAAGGTCATCCTAGATCTTTGCCTGTATGTTTTATGATGATTGTTGTATGTCCTCATGAATACATACGAGATATTTTAAATATATTTAATTAGATAAGATTAGGTTTGATATTTTATTACTTATTAGCGTGATGTGAACAGTTTAATTAAAATAATTTAATTTTAATGTTTTTACATGTATTGTCTCGCCAGTTCGTCTCCAACTAGGCAAGTGTATTCGATGAATATATGAAATCCAAAATCTTTACAGTTTCTTCACAGCGTCGTCAAGGTCCATGTATACTGGATTTGGAAATTCCTCATGGCCACTTCTCAATTATACGTTGCCTTTTTGGTTGAGTCAGTGATTTTCCCATTATAACGAATATTTTACAACACTTAATAAAAGATATGCCGATCATGACTCATGCAGCCAGCAGGGTGCATGCATGTATATATCAGTTTTAAAAACTAACTGAGGTAATGGAAAAACCCCAATGTTAAAATGAGGAAATAAATTAAGACCTACGTAAGTTGAGGCCTAGCTATATACATATTGTTCACATAGATGATAAAAAGACTGCATGCAGTTGTAGATATTAATTTTATGTAATAAATTATCAGCAAATTCCATCCAATGATCATTCGAGCTATATACATGCCTATATATAAGTGACTTTCGTCGTGAAGATAAAATTTAGAAATATTTATAATTGTATAAAGTCAGAATAGAGAACAAGACACAGCTATAGTTTCTCTTAAATGTACGGCAAACAACTATGTGCATGTAATACATTCAGTCTCAGACTGACAGTACATATTCTCCAGAGTTGGCCAGGGCGACAGGTTATATATGCACGATTGCACGAATATTGTTCAAATTAATGATTAACATTGGAAATGAATTTCAAACGATTAGTCAATCGAGGTTTTCATTGGCGTGTATTGATAGCTTGAAAGATTGATAAAAATACTTCATTCCTTTGCTCAGACTTATGCAGGTAGAGAAACTTTCATGCATTCGTCGGATTCGTTTGCGTTGTAAGAGTCATGTTCCAAAATACTTGTACTATTTAAGGACTATGACGTACATGCATAATGATTTGAAAATCTCATATGGCATGACGAAAAATGTTCCCCACGTCTGCCACATTAGAGCTATAGAATGGATGTTTTAGAATTCAACATGAAATTGAAAAAATACTTGGTAATTCAGTAAGTTATGCAGGCATATGTCCTACCTGAACTCTTGCCTCGGTCAGACCAATCTTCGCAGCTAAATCTTCTCTAGCAAACACATCAGGATAGGGTGCTTTATCAAACGCTTTCTCGAGTTCTTCCAATTGATAAGAACTAAATGTTGTTCTGTATCGTGTTTTCTTCTTTTTTGAACCGTTCACACTATTCAGGCTTGCCGAAGAATCATTCATTGATTCATTGTCTTCTATCTCGTTCTCGCTTGAAACTTCAAAATCTCCCCCACTCATTTTTTCCTCTCCATCAATGCTTGCTTTCTCGTCGACATCTATGAAATAGAAATAAAGATATATATCAAATCTAGCTACGTTGATGCTTCATGCGCAGTCGATTGTATTTTAATTTTAGGCTACAATGCCATGCATGCTCTACCACGCGGTATAACTGCATGCATGCATGCAAAACAAGGAAAAACAATCTCAATATATTTCAACAAAAAAATCTAGCAGTTTACTTTCTATATTCTTATTTGACCCGATGTTTGTTAGAGTCAAACTGGTGGCACTCATCTTCTATGCAACTGAGTCAACATGATCAGAAAAATGAATATTGCAGAAACGCGCACCTTGTCGCAGACTGGGCCAGAGGAACGCATAAGCCATGCACTAATCGCTTTGAATCAACAGCCCGTTACAATAATCCGCTGGCTGTAACAGTTAATGCATGCATGCAAAAAAAGAAGAAATTTTGTACGCGGACATATTGTATTGTAATTCGGCGGATCATAACATAGACATAATTGCATGCTCTCAATACTCAAAGCAACCTATGTTTCCATGAATATAATATACAAGGTATGAAGAGTAATCAGATTTATTTAATATACATACATACAAGCCAGAAACTGCTCCACGAGCTGTTAAAAAAACAACGAACAACAAATAACGTATGGCTAATTAATTAGGTGAATATCCTGTATATTGCAGGATAGAATCTTACCTCCTAAGGGCAGATTTAGTCAGTAAGACGCTTATTGCTTACAGTTTGCGCACGTGTTTTTAATCCGTTTTATAAGCATACAAAAAGGCACTATACATATAAATGCGTAAATTTTCTTCGAAGAATTACAGCCACGTAGATAATGAGTAAATTAATGAGAAATTTCAAGTAAATAATGAGAAAATTGCAGAAATCATAGAATAAGATATTGCGTATATATATATATAACTTCTTTACCAGCAGTAAATTCACATGCATATAACTTTATAATAATAAAATTTAGCTTGCGAAATGGCCGGGTGTTATTTGCGTTATAGGTATATAAAACCAATTGAAATTTATAAAACGAGCAAATACATGCAAAAAGAACTGATTTAAAAAGAGTATATAAGATAAATCACAGGTCATACACCAGGATGTTTCCATTCATTTTGCGTGGTCCGCGGCTTTCAATTTAATGCGTGATCTTTCAATTGGCGAAGAAGGGGTTTCGGTGGCGAAGTGCTTAGAGCACTTGCCTTTCACCTCTTAGGTCCCGAGTTCGATTCTCGGTGAGGAACTTTCTCAATGTGACTCGAACCCAGTCCTCGTGTGAAAAGAGTAAAAATGAACGCTCTGCTGAAAGTCGTGGGTTTTCTCCGCGGGAACTCCGGTTTCCTCCCACAGGAGAAGTTGACAGGATGGGTTAAACATATATAGGTCAGGGGGCAGGTATGGACTACCGTAGGTCAGGGGGCAGGTATGGACTACCTAATAGGCTAATAGCAGCTGCTTAAAGCGCCATTGTAAGCTCACAGTCTACCTCGGTCTGCTATCTATTCACAATGTACGTAACCAGTCACTGAAATAGGGAGTGTGCTGTGCCTGTATCTGTATACTGATGAACATGCGCATATACCCTAGTCCTGCATGTATAAAGTTAAGCTGAAAGCTATTTTCCATAACCTCGGGCGAAGGAAACAGATTACTATATAAGGGAACCACATATTAATTAACGAAACCTTGTATAGATAACAACTTGTTTTCACTTGTTTGCCTCACGAAATTAAGGGTATTTTTTATCTTAAAAGCGCATTGACATTGTTATAGGAAACGTACATAATAGATAAAATGCATGTGGTGTTATATCAAACATATCTTATCGTATTCTAAATTTTTACTTTGTAAATATATAAATTGATGTCGGCATTTGCGTTTTATGCACATTCTGAATTTATCTATACCGTGTGCAGGCCATATGCTGCCTACTTGAGATGTAAAAACGTATATAACAATGCGGTTGCAATGTGTTAATCTGCATGTGCACTGCATGATAAACCAATATGCATCTATACATCAGACACCATACTGTTGGCCTTGGAACGTTATACGTCATGAATTTTCAGGCATTTTATTAAATTATTTTTAATGAAACAAATGAGAATATTATAGTGAATGATGTTGACAAGTAGCAATTATGTGATTAAATGCTACTTAGAGTTCTCACAGCACTGACAGCACATTGCCATTGGCTGTAGCTACTTACAGGCTGTAGTATTTCATTATCGTAAAAAGATTTCAGCCAATTATTGAGTGCCTGAAACAATTCCAGTTTAATTTCGTACGAGGCTTCAGTGACTTCAGTGGCCTGTTTTTAAATGTAAAATTTTAAAAATACGGCTGCACGGAACACATGTACCCTGCAAATATAGAATAACAAAACAGTACAACTGAATATTTTAGTCATATTATTATACAATATTGGTCCACATCAAATAGCTACATTAGGCTAAAATGAGGACAAAGCTGCCGATATTATTAGATATAAGTTTTGGAAATCTTCATTAATATTGATATTCGACACATTCAATTAATAATCTCTTTATTTTTCTGCTAATAATTTTAAAGTACAATCGCATGCATCATATGCATGAGTGTTTGTTAATATAAAATAGCTTATTCTTATACAGCATTGATTTTATATTTGTAAGCTACTCAGTGTAATAATAGCTTAGTGCACATGGGTCGCCAAATGTCGAGATGAATTAGAATTAATAACTTTACAGATTGGAGTTTTATTTCAATCTTATTACACCTCATTTCCTGTATCCATCAGTTATATTTTAATAGATTAAATATAATTAAAACAAGAAAATCATACTGCAGTATGAAAAAGAAGTTAAAAGACTATATGCTTGCATGGATTTCGTTTTGGGGGCATTCTGTCATGACTGATGCGTTTTGATGAAACTGTCGATTTGATCACCACTGCATGGTGTTATTATTTTTACCAGCCAAAAAAGTGGATCAAACAATTTTCATAATGATCAGCATCAAACGGGAGCACGTGTGGCAAATATAGGATAAGCCTGCCACTCATGCATGCATGCATGAAAATCAAATGGGAAGTTGGAGAACTTTCCTGTACTTGAAAAACTCATGTAAGTAGAGTGTCGTAACGCAACCTTTCTTTGCATCTGCAGATTATATTTTTGTTTAAGTAAAAGAACACTCTGCATCACTTTAATTTAATGTTCACTTTCGTATATTTGAGTCAGTACAGCTATATATACATAGTGGTCATATTCCTTGTTTCATGAATTAATTACGGTGCAATTAAACCACTACAACGTTAATAGAACATGACATCAATACAAGATGTGAATAATGATATTAATGGCTTAATGTATTGAGTGACCACGCCGCAATGCCATGCATGCATGCCCGCTGCACGTTTAACTAGTCACATACACAGACTACTTCTCTCTTCTACGAATCTGTGTCATAAATTTTTACAACTCGTAAACCGAGATATTATAGGAGTATATAGCCATAGGGAGGCATCAACCAATTTGCTATTTTTTCTCATACACTCGAGGCAAAAGAAACCAATTTGTTTCTTAAAATAAGAAAATGATTTTTTGCTGTGTAAAGAGCTAGCAAATCTTAAAAGATTTTACATAAAGATTGAAGCAAAAGCCTATTAACTGCAGGCTTATATACACATACGCATTTCTTGATTTTTTCTTGTACTTTCTTGACTTTTGCATATATAGTTTTGAGTTTCACTTTTCGCCGAAGAAATTCTAGTGAGTATATAGACTATATAGTATACATGTTATAATTGTTATTTTTCTAAATAATAATTTGTTTTTGGGAGATTTATCCGTAAAACAGAATTCTCCATATAGAGACAATAGAATAAACATTTATCCACATTAAAAATGTTCCTGTAATTCAGTTTAAACTTTGATTCATTAACTTAATAATAACTTAAAATGTCAAAAAACGTAGTCGACTCATCACAAACCATTGCATGAAATGCTTCCAATGTAGCTACATTCACCGATTGGCGATCAATATCAACATAATTCATTCTGAGAAATTAATAGGCCTATAGTATAGGAGTTATTGGATGCGGGATTGCACTCATCAGTCATGCAATAGTCACAACTTTACAGTTAGTTTGAATTTATCAGACTGATATATCATAAAAGTCATGAATAGCCTATATCTACTGAAGATGTTCTGACTTTATATATTAATACACACTCAGAAAGTCTTTAAATTTAACAAGTAAAGAAAAAGGAGAGTTTTGCTATGGCCTATATAGGAATATATATCATGTTACAAAGATAAAGTAGTACCTTTTGTCTTGTAGAATATTTATATATATATACAAGTAAAAACACTATACATATATACATATCAGTGTTCGACCACATCAACTTTCGGTAGTTCAGGGTATGCGCTATATAGAGGTAGGCCTCTTCCTGGATCTCTTATAGACTAGTCTCTGCATGCAACCGCGAAAATTTTGTATTCCAATTAACAATTCGGGTATTCTGCCTGGCTTGACCGTGTAATTGGAACGTGCAAAAGGAGTTTCTCACTGCATTCATGTGCATTGTGATATTCTGTTACCAAGTAACCCGGTGCAAAAAGCTATACTCGGTATTCAAGTATACGCCGTCATCGCGGATTAGGTAGCATCCATCTGCAGCGCCTACATAGCAAACTTTTCAAAGTGTAAGTGTGTAACATCCGATCAACGCAGTCATGTATAATCTCTCAGGTATTTGCACCAATTTTATTCGAAGTAGCTCCGTCTATGGGAGAAACTCTCAATGTAAAACATGCATTATTCACAAGGATTGGATCTTATTGCGCTCACATATAAAAAATACTGAAGAACTCTCACGAGTTATATAAAATGCTGAGTTCATGCAGGTATTCACCTGACTCCAAATTTCCAATGTAGTTTTCTTGCACTCTATGGTTGGATTATAGATTAATTTTAATTTGTGCCCATGCATGCAACGATGGGGAAATCTGACTAGCTATGTCACATAAAATACATGCATGCAGTATACTTCAGAATTCACCCTATATCAGTAGCTATATCCAATTTTATTCCAAAGTAATTCTGTGCATGGGAAAAACCTCATTATACACTCATGAGAATTTGCAGTGCTGCTAACTATATTGGATATGCATGTTCTGAATTTAATTTGCACTAGAAGTGGAGAATATGAATTCTTACGGGTATGTTTAAAAACTCGGAATTTGTTGCGGGAACATACTGAATTTAAATTCGCGCTCAACGAATGAGAGGAAATGTTACGTAATGGAAAATCAAGCTTGTCAGGTATATTCACCAATTTTTATTCCGCCGAAGTCTATTGTTAAAAGGAAGAAGTCTTGTCTAAAGAATAAGTGAACAAGAAATCGTGAACAAGAAATCTTCGGTCATGCATCTATAAAAGTAGTCATGAGGAGGAATCGAATTAGCCAAAAGGAATCCGAAATTTGTACATTAAAAGTTGTAAATCTGGGATATTTCTAAGATTTGTATATGAAAGGGAGAGTCTTGATGAAAAAGAAAACATTGCCTTTAAAACATCAATGAGAAATTGTACAAATTGTACAATGTTCGCGCTTATTTAAGGTGTGAACTTGGAATGTGGATTTGTTCCTTACGTTTCTAACTCTAACGATCGCGCCTGATATTATTTCTGTTCAACGAGCATCAAGGTTAAAATACACATACATTTTATATATCTGAGAGCAAAGCCTAAGTTTATATAAAGCTAATTTCATTATAATTTTGATTTCTGGCTAAATATAACCTACTGTATTTACATGAATACAACTCATAACATGAAGAATTTGAGATCATCAAATTATGTGATCAGGTCTGATGTGTTATGACCGACATCATACTTTTATTTTCAATCTATTTAATATACTTCTATTATACTTCTGACTGAGCTTCTGGGAACTGCTTACACAAGATGTTACAAAGTTATGCTTACCTTGCTTTTCTATGGATTCTGGATTTTCTTCAGTTGTCTCAGATTGTTGATCCTGGTCTGCAACCTGCGGTGCGTCTATTTCCTTTTCTGCCAGACATTCTCTTCCTGGTTCATTTCCCAAGCCGAGTATACCACAGATACTGTGTGAGATAGGTGACTGACTGCCTTCTTGTGATGCTCTTTTGTTGCTCTTTGCTGTGTCTGTCATTGTGATATATTTTACGAAGTAAAAACTTTTGAAGATTGCGACAATTTATATGTAGTGAAAGACAATGATTTATCAGATGTTTAATCCAACGAGCTACAGATTGAATATGAATACCATTAGCAGCTCAGTTATCAGCTTTACGAGTTATCTGACTGTATTGGCAACAAATGGACCAAAATGTTTCTTGTGTTAAACTTGTGAACCAATGAGAGTTGACGAGAAATGATAATAGTTCTACCTTTAAGACATTATATTACAGGCGGAATGTAATTAGGACTAAGTGTAAACAGTGTAAAGCTAAACTTAGGCCCGAATAGTTTACATAACAATTCCTAAAGATACCCAATAAACACGTAATTATATTGGAATTAAAGTTTCTTGATAGGATTTACAGTTGCACGAGGGAGGAACAGTCACGGGTTGTGAATCTTGATGTGGCGGTTTTGCCTTTGGTAAAGTTTAAATTCGATCTTCAGTTGGAGAAAGTTTTTTTCATTGCCCTGAGAACAAACCTTTAAAATTTTACTATTTCTTCGGTTTGTTGTTCGCCGCGATGCCTTAACTATTAGAACAAATATTGAAAGAAACATGCCCAAAATATAATAATAAAATTTACACATTTACGCTGCTTTTTAATTGAATTTAATTACCGCCGTCTAAGAGGTGTCACATCATTGAAATTTAATTAGCGCAGCAATAGTTTAGCAGTGACAAAATGACGAATTATATATTTCAAAACACACACAGTAAAGTGCAGTGGTTTGTACGGAGAAAATTTGATTAGCTACGTACAAAATGGTTTAATGAGTTTTTAGAAATAAAGTAGAAACTCATTTCAAAATAATTTAAACTACTTACGAAACATAAACATTGAGGCCATATTACATATATAGCGGAAAATATTGATTAAAATGAAATATTAAAAGAAGCTTTTGAATAATTTTATAGAGCTAAAAATCGATTTATTTTGCAGATAATTGGGACGGAAAGGTAAAAGATAGGGAAATATTTGTTCATTAAAAGCCCAAAGCTTCGTGCTTGGCGTTTGAAGTCTTTGTTACGATGTCGTCCCGCGTCATAAACATTCAGGAGGAAATTAATTACGAGGTCAATTGAACGTGAAAGAAGCCGGTAATTAAAAGTAAGCAGTCGGTCATTCATGGGAAAAGTAGTGAAGAATTAAGCTGGCAACAGAGGTGGAGCTACTTATTTTAATACGTTTGTTTTAGCGAGTAACCCCGGCTCCAGAATGCTTCTCACACTTACTGCATGCACAATATGGCTAGCATCTGCTGGCGCCAAAATCTTATACAAATCAAATACATGCACAACTAATTCTTTGTCTTTCAGAAGAATATTTTAATACATTTAAAATAGGTCTTAAATCTTAATAATTATTCTGCCAAAGATTTGACCTATAATATATATTCACAATTGCCTATACCCAATGACTTTGGCTGTCCATGGCAAGGATTATATCATGCGTGTTTGGCAGATCAGACTAACACGACACGTACAAGCTAACTACGCGTGGTCGAATGAATAGTGTAAGCTCTCTTTTCATGTATTTGGTTAATCTTATTAATTTTAAAGACCTTTTTCAGTCGCGGCGTGTCTGACAAATGTTTTGTTGGCGAGCAACCGTTTATTCGCGGCCGCCTTTAACTAATACGTTTATTTAATGTAAGATAATTCTTCAAAAGATACCGATGAATTGCTAAGTTGGTGAACGGTATATATATTTAAATCGAAATGAAATTGAACAAAAATAAGGTACGAAAACTATTTGCCACTTTCTACTAAATGCCCTAACTGTGGCCCTATAACGACACACCTTGCACAGGGTGCCAATTAATTTTGTCATAATCAATTGCCAACTTCAAGCACGAACTGAATGAAGGGTTTTCAAATATCATCCCGCGACAAAATGGCTAACGTTTGCCACATGCAACGAAGTAATAAAGTAATAATCGACATTTTGTTGTACGATAATTGCCAATGAAGGCTGAAATCTCGCTGTGTGATTTTCTAATGAAAACAGGAATCTGTCGAATATGACTGTCGTCAGCGGTGTCTTTTTAGTCTTGCCATGAGTAAACATTCAAACAATTGTAGATAATCCGAGTAATTATCAATAAACTTATCGGCGGCCATTACAAAGACTGTCGTCAAGACGCTGCAAACGTTTAGAAATTTCCTGCAAACTAAGCTTATAGCATGGTTTTTCCAAATGTTTCCCAATTAAGATCTCACTCTATTTCTAACGCAGTGAATAAAATAATCAAGTTCTTCCAGACTTACTGATTCGTTTTTTTTTTCGAGGTAAAAAACCGTCAAAAACATTCGAATTTTTTCGTCGTATTTTTCTACTTTCTATATTTCAGTTTAACTTCAAAATTTCTCCACTTAATCTAATGGTTTTCACATTAAAGTATTTATCACACCCACAGCTGGACAACATGGATGTATTTTTCTTGTTATCTAAATTAAAACATGGCATGATATCAAAAGGAACAAGCCATTAACTTTTATATATAGGCTTAGGAGGCATACACATTGATTCAGTTATCATTGCTCAATCTTATGTAAATTTAATGCTATATATATATATATATATATATATATATATATATATATATATATATATATATATATATATATATATATATATATATATATATATATATATATATATATATATATATATATATATATATATATATATATATATATATATATATTTTAGCCTCAGGACAAAACAATATAGTTGTGGGTGCAATCGATTTCTCGGTGCGATTGTGACAAAAATCTTTCCAATCTTTCAGTAAAAATTGGCATGGCAAGAACAGCTTGTATAATTCACGAATATATATTGTTTATCTGTGACTTCGTTGGAGATTATGATTAATATTAAAAGGTGTAGGTTTTAATATTTATCGCAATCTCTAATGATTAAAAATCATATTCACGTCAAGATTTTCAAAGAAATGGTTTATTTCCCAAATTTTGCAGAAAACGCACAAATTGTACTGAGGATTTTGTGCTACATCTGTCCTGTCAAATATAACCAAATTAAAAACATAATATACATCTTATGATTCCGTCAACAGCTTTCTGGAACAACCTCGTTCCCGAGTTCTTCCCTCTCATATATATATATTAATTGATAAGAGCAATTATGATTTTCCATTTGCATGCCAATTATTCTGCTGTCGATACTGCCTGCATGTTTGCGTGAGTTATATATGACGACAGTTCAAAGAGAAATCTGAGCGAATCTATAATAGAACGGTATTTCATTTTTACTTTGCCACATGCCCTCCCCCACTTTTTAGCCGAGCAGAAAATATGATGTATGGTAAAAATAATCGGACTATAACAGGCTTCGTTTACTTGCGTACATGCATGGCCTCCCCCATACTTCCAAACATGCCCATGCAGCGGTCATTGTAACACGCCTGCTATGCAGGCTACAGTTATTGCTTCGCCCCAATGCCACCCTGGGAACGAGGTTGCCCCAATGCTAGCCTGCATAGCAGGCGTTTATTTGCTTGTGGGCGGCGAGTGCACCTGTAGTGAACTCTAATTAACTGTCAGGTGCAATCATTGCATCTCTGAAAACAATCTCGTTCTTAGAGAACGGGCGGTTCGCAGGTTAGGTTCCAGCTACGAGATTGACTCAGTATATACAGCTATTTCAATTAAGGGTTTAAGGTTGTCCACCCAGCAAAGCGGAAAAGTCGAATACGAGCGCGAAAGGCTGCTGGGAATCGCTAATAAATGAATGAATTTGTTAGCGATTCCCAACAGCGTTTCGGGCTCGTATTCGACTTTTCCGCTTTGCTCGGGGACACCTTAATTGAAATAGCTGCAGACACGGACTTAATTTAAATGTTACACCAATTTTGTTTTAGGGAAACACCATACAAATAGACACCCAAAAGGTGCATTGAAACCATAGATATAAGATATCTGTGATTGAAACACCTACTGTATATCCCTTATTGGGTTAAAATAATTTAGTACGACTGACCAGTGGAAATGATGCATGTTATCATTGACACTAAACCAGTGTCTGGCTGACTAAGTCAGAGCTGCAAAGAATAAACCATTTGGGTTTTGTATAGCAACATCCAGAAATTTAGAGTGCTGGAAAATACCATTCAACGAATTGGAAACTTAGAGACCTACAGCACGCGCTGATATTGCACGCCTGTTGCATGTCAAATGGAAATCACTTACATACAATCATTTTCGTCCATTTGGCAGCAAAATGTAACCGTCGCTGGCGCAAACTTTGTTGCTACCCTGCTTTTAAATTAATATGAATTTTTAATACGTGCGAATTAAAAAGACATGTATTTCTTATTTAACAAAAATAAAACATTTTTCGTGTTGATATACAATTATATCAACACGAGTGGAAATTGGGAAAACGAGAAATTGTGTGGAAACATGACTCCCGAAGGGCGGAGTGTTTTCACACAATTTCGAGTTTTCCCAATTTCCACGAGTGATGATACAACTGTATATCAAAACGGAAAAAATGTTTTATATTTGTTTTATAATATAGCACAAAGAAACAAAGAAATTTTCCGACGTTTCCATGTTGACATTGAGTTATATCAACACGGCTCTTAGCCAATCAGCGTTCAGAATTTACAAATGCTATATTATATATTACAGTTAAAAATGCAGGCATCTAAAGTTCAACAAAGCAAAAAAAAATAAATAACGATTTTATTAAATTATTAGGTACATAACTGTTACATATATATTATTTACATATATATTATTATTAATACAATTAAAGGAATATTACTGTAATATTGACAACTTCCTCATCGATGAGCAATAAATAACTTATACTATAGAAGTCAAAACATGTAAAGACTAGCACTGGGCTTACGTCATTGGCTTGCCAGCGTATATCGACCAATTTTCTGATCAAAGTCAGAGAGCTGGATTGCTTGGAAGATCGCGACGCTGTGGACATCCAAATGGTAACTTGATCATTTCAGGAAACACCAATGTCGATATTCGATTACATCATCTTATTCTATTAATCATGGTGAGATTTGTGTTCAAGGTCTTCTTAACAATTCCACAAGCAGCGGATTTTTTCTTCAATTGACTTCGATCAAAACATTTCCATATTCTGAGTGTTTCATCTGCACCAGCTGAAGCTACATGTTCACCACTTGGCGACATACTCATACACAATACACGTGCACTGTGATCGACCAGATCAGCAACTCTGGTCATGGATGGATATTTCCAGATGGAAAGTTGATTGTTAGAAAAACCATGTCCAGTGATAAGTTCCTTGTAATCTTTCGACCACAGAATACTAGATATCTAGGAAAATGTAATCATCACTCATCAGGAAATGTATCATTAAAACGGCCATTGCAGTTTCATTAGGTTGCAACGCAATGGAATTTGCAAGAATTATACAGTGCAATTTGTTCCATCAGTTTACATAAGAACATTCCAGTAAAATCTACTACTACAGTATACAGCTGTTTTAAAATAGCAGTGAGCTTAAGCAAGTGACGTTTTTGACAACACGAACAGCACGAGTATGTGATTGGTGAAAAACGTCAACTTTACTTCCGGTCGACGTCCATGTTGTCAAAAACGTCACTTGCTCACTATTATAAGGTCTTTAATAATTTCACTTATAAAGGTCTGAAACGTGCGAATTTGGCATTGTAACTATGGCAAGACAGAAGATAATAAGCACTTAAAGATGCACAGCTAGCAGTGTACTAGGATATTTGCCCAATCAAAAGCCTAAAAAGAAGTTACCCATCACTCTTTGCGCGCTTAGAGTTTAAGGTCTGAGGTTTTCGAAGGACAACCTGTCAATGAATATTCGAATGTTTAGTGCTACACAGTAAATGTTCCATAAAATCTGGGGCTGGTTGTTCAAAGCTGGGTTAGTTTAACCCTAGGTTAACCTAACATTCAAATCAAACTTCTTGACAGCTTGTCTATAAATTTGGAAATATTTCTTCAGAGATCTTGTCTGTATCGATAGGAGTTTACTTCTCTGAAGTTTTGAAATAAACAGACGTGCAGAAATACAAACTAAAACACCAAGTTAAATTTTAATCCAGGGTTAGCGCCAACCTTTGAACAACCGGCCCCAGAAGTATAAGGCGTATAACCAGTTTACGGCATACAGGTTTAGTTCAGGATGCGCCAAATCAGCGAAACTTGCGGCTAGCTCATGTGGTTTAATTGTCAAGCTCGCCCATTCGTTTTATTCACTCACTAGTTCTCACTCTTTCTACTCCTTACAAGGCGAGACAAGGTAATGCGTTACGGTGCGACTTATATAGCAAGACTTATATAGCAAGACTTGTATAGCAAGACTTATATAGCAAGTCAACAACGTGTATTACAATTCAGCTCTGCACTATAATCCAGCATAATCAGAGCATTCATCTGGGACACGCCCACCGGACGCAAATATGGTTTCCTGGATTTGGTCCCCGTATATATTTGCATGGTCCTTCATATAAATTAGAGTCTATTTTTCAGATCAGGGACTCAGATCAGGGACTCATATTTGTATAGCAATTCAATAAAATTGTATAGCAATTCTATAAAAATTAAATTAAATCAAATTCCAATAATACATCAAAGAACATTTAATATATACTGTAAGTATGTACTTAAATTAATTAAGTTAGTATGCCGCTAGCATTGAATACTGTTACCTGCGACTTGGTATCAATACTATTGAGACAAACTCCTGTAGTTACATTCCACAACCGTATATAACGATCTGCTGTACCTCCGCCACTTGCTAACACGTTGCTTTGCCATGGACACCA